GAAAACGCAATTCTTATCCATCTTAGATTTGTTTGTTTTAAATTGGGCTTTAGAGTATTTGAGAGCTCTGGCCTGCTCTTTTGAAGTCAGCAAGAGCTTTGCCATTGATTTCAAAAGGATCAGGATTAAGCCGAAATTGGTAAGGTCTAAAAGACAAAAATGAAAATGTCTAAAGTCTGTAAATCTCTCAGGGATCCACCATTCAGAGAGGAAGGACAAAAGTCTTCTCCAAGGTCTTGAAAGTACAGCTTGATACCAGGGCACCTGGATTCTTGTATTTGTAGACTTCAAGGTGGAAAGCAACTTCCAATCAGAACTGTAATTGACAGCATATGAAGCAGGACAGACTTGCACCATGGACTTGTAAAGGTGCTGGGGGAAGCGAGATGAAAGCTGTTTGTCAAAATCAGCAAACTGTCTGTATGGGTCTTGCACAGGTGGTTCTGTGCTAACACTGCACAGTACCCCCTGCCTGCAGCCTGCAGGCAGACCTGCCCTTGGAAGGTTCAGGTCTCAGGTACCACTGTGGTCTTCACCTTATCTTGCCAGAAGTTCATCACAGCAGTCTAATCACAGGCTTCTGGGCAGTCATCTGTGTCATCCAGCAAGACTTCCATGAGTACCTTCAGTAGCTGACCGAGCAGAAGCCTCTGGTGCACAATTAACTTAGCAACATTTCTGACGATCCTGCACAAGTTTAGCACTTTGTGGCACTAAGATGACATTAGCAGACATGTTCTCTGAGCAGCAGGTTAAAGTCAAGGCCATGTCCTTGATCCTGCACCAGCCAGCTGGGAGCATCCATCTCAGCAGTGAACTTACCATCACCAGACCTCTCTCCTCACAGTGGATGGTGGTGGGAAAGCTTAAATGTCCTTGAGGAAGGGCTACTATCCTCTTCAGCAGAGGAAAGAACCATGACCTCTTTCATGTTCTGGCTTAGGAAGTCTTGGTAACCAGTGCCCAACGGTCAAGGATGTGGACTATTACCTCAGCTAGGAAGGAGTCATCTACAGTGATGAAGTGTAGGCTCAGAGAAGTAATGGGGCATGGACAAGCAAGAAAGCTTCTCCAGAAGCATTCCAGAGCAACCATGGTACAATGGTCACTGCAACTCCAGCCCCTATCAAGATAATGTACACCAACATAGACTTTGAGCAAGGCGTAAGGTAATAGTATCTTGGCCAACTGAGGGGATATCTATGCTAGACTAGGACTAGTGTTAAATGGCTCCTCTGGTAACCAGACTACTTCTTCCTCCTTCGGTTCAACTTTGAGCAGTTTCTATTTTGCTTTTGCTTGTACATCGTTTTCCATAACTCCTTGTACTTTTCTTCTGTATGCCATGTCATCTGAGGTTGTATTTCCATGATACTGTTTTCAGAAACCACCAGAAATTGCACCAGCAGAGCTTGCTAGGTGCAAGTGCAATTAACAAAGGAGAATAGCTGATGATGTGAACCAGGGTATTCCTCACAATTGGCCCTTTCACTGGCAGTGGGGCAGGTTTTTGGAAGCTTGTTATGTTTGGGCATCATTCTGTTCCTCTATTTCTTCTAACTCTTACAAACTCTGTAGAGTACCCAGCAAACATAATACGACCTTAGTAAGAGCTTTGGGCTCCTCTCAAACATGAAAAGCCCTCTTGTTTCCTTTTCAGACACCCAAGTGCATTGGGTGTCTGAATGGAAGTGACCCTGGTGCCAGGCCAAGCTATCTGTGGATGACTTCCAGAGGTGAAGGCAATCAGAGGTAGGTAGCTGCAGCTGCAAGGATGGCATAATGACCCCATTGCTTTATGTGATCCCAACATCAACCGGGCTGGGATTCTAGAAGACATATGGACCAGGCACCTTCTCAGATGACCTGGACTGAAGGGTTACAAGGTATCCATTGCAGTCTGCCCACCCTTCTGACCCAACATAGTAACGCCATATTCTGTTAGTAAAGACCCATACTTGCCGTGGGAATATCAGATAGGAATACAGCATCAAAGAGAACTCGTGCAATTGAAATAGTTTCTGTGTCTCCATTGCTGATGTACTACAGAAGGTGGGTGTCATTTCCTAGGCTGTGCAACGCCCTCTCTCCTAACCTAAAATGACTGGCAATAGAATGGGAGGAGCCAAAGATTGCCAACTTTCAAATGACTTAGTTTAATCATCCTGGAGATTTTGTAGCAATGAAATCAGCTTAAGCAGCATCCACTCCATCTTCACAGGTGCTAGCTACCTCCTGCTATGTGCTGCTCATAGGGAACAAGGTGGCCCAGTCCTGGCTTGATTCTGATGCAGCCTAGTCACCATATCCAGACACAGATGAGTGCTGCTATTGCCTTTGCCCCAGAGGGAAAATACAAAACCAATTTTATTTTCATGGTTTGAAGTGGTTCTAGTCTATTCTGCCAGCTCATCTGGCAGAGGACACACCTACTTTGAAGGAACCTCAAACAGAACTTGACTTTGGGCAGAAACTTGCAGCACAGCTGAGCACCACTGAAGAACAGAAATAACTTTCTCAGTGAAAACATCCTGCAAAGTCCCCATCTTCTGCTTCTACTCCATGGGGCATTTTCTCAGACTGTTTTGAGTGTCAGTTCCAAGGGGCATAGTGCCTTTACACCAATCAGTTCAGTGTTACTTGCAGCCTGAAAACCAGCCACGCACAGGTATAGGGATGTTTGCATTTACTGAATTGGTTTTACTAATAGAGGGTGGCAATTGGGTAGAAGTAGCTTCTAAAATGCCGTTTACTTTCTTAACAGGGCCAGCTTACAACCCAAAGAAAGGTTAAATTCATCTGGATAACTTTGGGTTACTACACATGTAAGGCAATCTGAGATTTTTAATAAATAAAGCATGCCATAACGGCCCCTAGAGTTTAGGTAAGACGGAATAGGCATGTCTGGACCCAGTGTGGAATAGTGATCCATCACTGCTAGATTGATTTCAAAAGCAATTCAACAAAGGCTCAGCATAGACAACACTACAGAAAACTTGTTCCAATAGCCTTCTTATGCAACAGAAAATCACGGTCACATTTGTATTTCAGACAGTGAGCCAACCCAGAAAGAGGCCAAACTACAAGAACTATCCTTGAAAGACATTTTGGGCTGCTCCTCTCCTCCCATTGCCCTACACTCCTTTTCAACCTTTTACCAGCTTGGGCATTTTAGGCCACAGAGAACCATACCTTAGAGGTCATTAGCAGCCTGGTTAGGACCACTATGGCTTTTGGCTACCAAAAATAGTTTTAGGCAGTAGCCTGGGGAAGTGTCGCGCTCTTTGTTCCTCACTTTGAGCTATGGCAAAGGTGACTTTGGGTGAAGGAATTGGAGAGCTTTCCTCAGCCCAGCAACTTTGGACAACCGCTTGCTGCTCTTCCTTTTTACCCCAGGATCTGCTATCCAGTAAGTGCAAATTGAGGATGACAAATAAGAATATTACCAGGGTGTTTCTGCTAAAACGATCTGCCCTGAAGTAGCTGATGTTGACACTTAAATTGTCAGCAGACTTTCAGTGTAACGCTCCAGTTAGAAGAATGGGTCCATTCACACATCCCTCAGAGCTATTGTTTCAACCCTCTCTAGACCCAGGCAAGTATCACTGCAGCAGTTTACACTCCAGTTCCACTTTAAAGGGTTTTTTTTGCAACCATAATCCAATTTGCCTAGAAACTTTTTTTTAATGTAAGCTTAGACTCTAGAGAATAATTACACAACACTGTAAAAATAGTCTGCAGCAATTTACATAGGCATGAAATACCAGAGCTGTTTCTCTCTCAGTGTACCTGTGTATACATGGCTGCAGCTAGTCCCAGTATTTACAGAAGACTCACTGGAGTTATGATCACAGAAACTGGTATTTCAAGTTAGACCACACACACACACAAACGAACAAACCATCTCTTGGTATAATGCAAGGTTTCATATATATTTTGGGGTGTTAGGGCATCATCTAACTGAAGCACTACCTTGCCATTTCTGCCTTCCCGTATCTCAGTTCACTTTCTGGCTGGATTCAGATAACACCCCGGTGGCTGCAATCATTGTTTATGTAGGAAAGCAGGAGCATATTGATTTAACTTCAGTTTCTTTCCTATAATTATGTGTTCTTGCACTTCTCAAATAAGTTAGTCAGACCGACAGGCTGTATCCTCTTCTCTCTCACTGCGGCCAGCTTTGCTGCTGCTTATTTCTATTGGGCCTGGTATCTCCTTGTCTGCTGGAAGTTCGCTCCTGAGCCTGCTCTCCTGCCAGTCAACTTGTCCTCTTCTCTTTTGGTACATCTTGCTGATGGCTGGACCACCAGTACCACTGGAACAGAGCAATGAATCCCTTTTCTTCTCTTTTATGTAGGGCAGGAGAAAACTTGGCTGTAGTGGGCGGTATAACAACTGTCTGTTGACCCTCATCTGCTAAAGAAATTGTCGCGACTTGGGGCATTTTCAAGCCCAGCTGACCAACAGTATAAATTGAGATGGCCCAATACTTCCAGCATTTTATGAGCTGTCTAGATTACAAGCAGTTATCCTGTCCTGAGTCTGAAGATGCAGTGGCTTCATTTTTGCTCTATAACTTCTCTAGATGCTCATTTCTGTTACCCATGTAATACTGCCAAGTTCCTACCTTACTAGCCCAAATATTTTGCTCCCTTTTAAGGAGTTTTTTTAGTTGTTATTTTACCCAGAAGAGCCTAAGTGATTAAATCAAAACTAATAGAACAAAAGGATGAAGCCACAGCTTGTAAACAAACCTACTGCCTGAAATCTCTGCAAAGAAACTATGCAGGAAACTCTTGCAAATAAGGGTTACATGACAGGAGTAAGAATTTATAAATGACTACATGACTATAGAAAAAAAAACAAGCTTCAACTCTTGCAGCCTAGCAGTGAGAAATGAATAATATGGCCATTAAATTTTGACTCTGATTTGAAGGAGTTAAATACCCAGGCTGCCCTTCCGGAGCAGGGTGGGGCATGGGGGAAGGCAGAAAGAAAAAAAAGGCACCTGAATGCCTGGGGAAGGAGCAGCAAAGCCTGCTGGAAAACCCGTTTCTCTCTCCTATGCTTCTTGCCACAAATACTCCCAAAGCGAGCGTGCCCTCCTGCCTGCCTCTCCCCCCAGCCCTGCGGCCCTGCTTCTGCAGCCGCCCTGGCAGAGGCCTGAGGGCAGGTGATGGGCACCCTCCCCGCATGGGACCCGGCCCCCTGGAACGTGACCTTCGGGGGCCCTGGCAGCGGGAGCGGGCCGCTCTCCGGCCCCTGGTACCGTGCTGGCAAGGTAAGCTCCGGCCCCGCAGCCCTGAGGTGGGACTCGAACATGCGTGGGCTCCGGGAGAGCAACGGATAAATTTCAGTTTCTCTCCTCTGAAGAGCCCCCTTCGGTGCTTACACCTGCTCCCTCCTTGCCAGCCTCCCCATCACTTGGCCTGGGCCTCCCGTGCTGCCCCCAGCATCACTCCCTGGAGGGAGCAGCTCTTTTGGGGCAGTAACGGGGGAAAGAAGGGGCTGTCACTTGCTAGAGCATTGCTGTTTTTTGTCATCGATGTTTTCGTCGTCGTCAGTGCTGACAGTGTATTTAGTATTTGGGAGACTAGAAAACAGAAACTGAAGGGGCCCCCGCAAACTAACAAGTTGAAGCATCTGCTAACAATAAAAATGAACTGGAGGCTGATTAAACTCTTTACCTCTTCCCTGCTTTTTGCTTCACCAACTAGAAGGCATTGGAGGATACTCAACATTCTTGTTTTTCGCTGCAATAAGAAGCAAACCACTTTTTTATGATGCAAAGCATTGGTATAAATTGTGCAGAAAATGGCTTGTAACTAACTGTTCTTTCTGCAAATGGCCCAGGAGCTGGTCATAACCCTGGGAAGGTCCCCAAAACTTTCCTCTCTGGATTCTGCATCTACTCCTGGGTGGATATCCAGACGGCAGGAGGCATTTCTCTGTTCCTTATTCTCGGAGGACAGGAAAACTGTGCATTTCTGCCCTGGTGTCCCCGGGCAGTGGGACTCCTGTTGCTCCCATGCTGGCCGATGGTGATGCTTCCCTGGGGCCTATGGGAGGCATGGCCAGAGGGGTATCACGGCTTGGGAGTTAGGCCCTGGTGCTGGGAGCGCTCACGGAGCTGCCGGGGGGAGCCTTAGCATGGGGACACCTGCTTGCTTGCAGAACATCCCAGCCCTGCTCCTGTACTTTTTGGGGTGGTTATGTGAGGACTGCTTTTTTTTTAAGCCTGGCATTTTCCAGGGCAACCTGAACTGTTTTTTGGCACTGCTTGGGTACCAGCAGGCAAGGCTTTGATTTTCTGTGCTTTGGTTTACTTGTAAAAGTGAGGCTTTGGAGGAGGTAATGAATAACTGTGGGTCATGTGTTGGGGTCATCCTTCATTTTCCCAAAAGTTAAGTTCTTTTGTGCACCCTTATTTTCACATTTTACTTGTATGGAAGTGTCAGAAACCATCTCCTTCTTCTATTTCTGGAAAATGGACCGTGCCAGTTGTGTTAGAGGATCAGCCCAGTTTCAGGTCTACATGCAGAGGCTCTTTCCCTCCTTCTTTGCCTGAGGCTTTTTCTTCCTCTCCTTGGTTTAGTTTTGAAGAGAACCCCTGTCCTAGACCTACCGGAGATCCGATATCAGTGTCAGCTCTTATCTGCCTGGAAACATCTCAGGAAAGCCGAGGGGAATTGCTTCTGGGGGGAGTATTTTCCAGCCTCTTTAGCTCCATGAACCATCAGGACATGAAAGACCAAGCTCCCCTTTAAACCGCAGCTAGGCAATGGCTCAGCTGGCTGACCACAGCTGCCACCGGACACTTGAGACATCCACATGGGCCCAGCAACTCTGACACAGACGTTGGGGGAAACCCGTGGCATTAGACTGAGCCCTAAGGGACATCTGTAAACAGGGAGCTCACTGGAAGGAGTTTCCTGTGCCCTGTGCTCACATGGTTGCGTACCATAACGCCCCGTAGTGCTGGCATTACTTTTTTTTCAATTTTTTATTAGGATTATTCTCCTGCCAGGTCTCTGATCAGGCTAATTGGTGCTAGCTGTTGGCAGGGGGAATGCGTGGTCGTGGGACAAAGGCTGGCGGCAGGAATCTCCTTGGCATCATCGAGGATTTAGCTGGGTTGAAGCTGCTCGAGGAACTACACGTCTGAAATTTAGCGAAACAGGATCGTGCACTCTGACAGCCTTCTCTGTCCAAGCTCTGCGCTGTGTGTTGTGAGACATGGACGTGTTTAATGATGTAGTAAAATCTGATGAAACATGTACTTAGTTACCTGAAGCATTTCCTGACAAACTAATATTACTGTAATATTTTGGGTCTACTGGAGCAATGAACATAAGAAGCTACCACATGTGGATCTGGTCTGCTTAAGAGAAAGTATATGTAATTGTTTCAGTTTAATCCTTTTTTATTTCCCTCGGCACTTCTCAAATGTTGTTTGTTTATTTGCAATATGGTTGTTTATGGACAAAAAACGTTTTGCAAGTTTAGTTGAAGTTAATAACTACAATATTACTCTTGTTTTGACTTTGTGTCAGGGAAAGAAAAAAGAGCTGGGTGGGAATAATCAATAAAAGCTCAGATGTCATAATTCTTCCATAATTCAGTATTTCACATGGCTGTTGTTGTGTATAGTCACCGTGTGTGGTTGTTAAAGTGGGGAAGCTGAGCCAGAGGGGGAAATTCATTTTGCTTCTGCTTCTTTTTCCTCTTATGTCTGTCTCTTAATAAACTCAGAGTTATTACTGGCTGCCCAGACACTCACCTCAAGAGATTGTTTTATTTCATGGGTTGTAGTAATAAATCATTTTGGTTCTATCCTTGAGGTTTAAAACGTTGACAGCTCCTTCAGATAGATCTGTGGCCTTACGTTCCATGACAATATATCACAGTCTGCCACAGGCCTTTTGCACAGGTGGAGAGTATGTGCAGCGAGGAAATCTGATCCTTCATGTGGTCTAATCAGCAGTTGGTGTGAGGCTACTATCAGGTGCAATGAGAAATCCCATGGATTAAACACATCGTTGTGAGGTCTTTCTACGCTGCCTTCTACTGTATATGTGAAATCTAGATTTCACATAGTGTGCCACAATGAAGATGAAAGTCCTCAGTGCTTCAGCTGGCCCCGCTTTGTGAAGGGCTTGATGCTGCTACACTATGTCTAGGGATACAAAGCCTCAGCAGTGTCAGGGCATGGTTTGATCCCGGTTTCTTCCAGTGCAGCTCAGCCCCTGCTGGTGCTCCTGCTGCCACGGGGGGATGCCGCTGTTGGGCTGTGGGGAACTAGTGCATGAGGGCAGGGAGCTGCCACTGTGGAGAAGAAGGTTATTTCTCTATTTTCCTCAGCCGAGGAAGCACCCTCGCAGATGGTGAAGACCTCTTCGACTGGCACTGCTACCAGAGAAAACGGTCATCAGGGAAAGCTCTAGAGCAAGTCAAGGTGTCCACAGAAATGGGGGTAGGAGCCACAAGGAGCCCTTCAAAATGGGGGTAGGAGCCACAAGGAGCCCTTCAAAATGGGGGTAGGAGCCCTTCCAAGTAGGACACCTTTCCCTTGCAAGAAGTGACCTCCACATATTAGCAGGCTATTAAAATGTGAAAGGCAAATGGTGCAAAATCTCCTGGTTTTTTTTCCACTTCAAGTGTTTTTTTTTAATGCCCTTTTCCTAGTCTCCATAGGGTTCTTCATGCTGCAGCCTGCTCCGTGATGGACTGCAGATGTTAGCTGTTTCAGGTTAATCATAGAGCAGTCCCCAAGCTTGGGGAGGGTAAAGACAAACATGCCTTTGCTGCTGCCCTCATTTGCAAAGACCGTAGTGGAAAGTTATCCCTCCTCCCCCAGCTCCTTATTCCAAAATTGTTCACTAAAAGCAAACAAGGGTATCAAAACATTAGCTCTGCTTCGTCATATACAAACTCCTTGTTCTTTACCTGCCAGGTTTCAAAAGGACAGACTATTTCAGTTTCCTTTGTGGTATGAAGCAAATGTGTATGGGGCAAAAAATGCATAGGGTTTCCTTAGGTGGGAAATGTATATTATTTTCAGCCCTGATAAATCAAAAATTGGGAAATGGATATTTGCTCAGCCTTTAGAAAACACCTTTTTTGATTCAGTCATAGGGAATCCAAAGGGCAAATATTACATTAAAAAAACCCTAAAGCTTCTGATGAAAAAGCATTGCAAACAGTTGCTGTCAGCGCTGATACATGCTCTTCTAGTGTTGTTGCCACTGTTGGGAATTCAGCATCAGCTCCACTGCTTAGTCCCCATTTAATTAAGCTCTGCTAGAAGGGGAGGTGTTGCTCTTTATCATAAATGCAGGACTGTAGGCTGGGCCAGCTTTCCACCCAGTCTTTCAGGCTCTTCCAGAGTTGTAGGTCTGATCTGTTTGGGGTCTGTGCTCTGATTAGCTCTAGCATGAGTGAGAAGCTGACAAGAGAAAGCAAAATAAAGCACAGGTTAGAAAGGATCATCCATATCTTTTATACAACCTTCCTATACCCATTCTGCCGTATCAAACATCAACTGTGCCTGCAGACGTAAAGATCAAAATTAGCACACAGCTTATACAGACTGCTGCATCCAGGTTAAAGAAAGATCAGCTGCTACATGGTAACTTACTCATTGCAAAGATAAGGGAAATAATGATAGGAGAGCCTTACCTCTTGCCTGCCTCCCTTGCAATGTGCCATAGGCATGTTTGTATCAGTGTGACTCTCAAATTCCTTAGGGAAATGTAGCTTTCTCCCTTCACTCCTTCCGTCCCTGTAAGCAGAGTGGGAGTGAGCCATGAAGCTGGGTATACCTCTTACTACAGAGGTTGTAGGGATAGAACAACTAGTCTGGGAGAGACGCTGCGGATGGGAAAGCAGCACGAGGACTGGTAGTAGCCCGAGGAGTGACCTATTTGTCTGGTTCACACCAGTTACTACTCTGGGTCCTCAAACCATTTGATTTCTGGGTGCGGTATTATTGGCAGGCCTCCATCGCCCTGCCTGGGTTTCTTGCACCCAGGCTGGAAGGAGCCAGGGGCCCTAGGGTGGTTTCCTCTAAAGCCCAGCATGGCTGTGCTGGGGGCAGCCGTGGGGGACAAGGCCCAACCTGCTCTTCAGGGCAGCAAACTGACTTGGCTCCGTGCTCTGGGCTCTGGGCACACAGACGCAAAGCGAATGGAAGGGCCTATCCTCCTCAGTGGGAGAGCCCATCCTCCATCCCTTTTGGAAACTTTTGTCTCCTCAAACTTGCTGGCAGAGCTGCCTGGATGA